CACACAGGTTTGGTGTCGAAGTCAACATTTCTCACCTTCTGCTTCCTCGGCTGGAAAGCCAGCTCCCAGGGGGCTCCAGGACAGGCGGCGCTTGGGAAAGAGTAAATCCCATATGAATCCCAGGAGCGCTTATCCCCACGTCCGCTCTGTTCAGGCCCTGTGGCTTCCCTCCTGGATTCTATTCCACGGGCCAGTGCAGGGTTCCTCAGCTTCCAAAGGAGAAATCACAGGGTTGAAGCTAAGACTGGCAGGGAGGAACAGAGGTGTGTGATGAGTGTCAGCTGCAGCCCCCTGGAGATAACAGGCTACAGCTTTGCTGTGCAGGAAAGGAGCCCGCCAGATCTGCAATTGCAGCAGACCCCATTTTTAAGCCTTGCCTTCCCAGAAGGACCTGGGAAGCTGTGGTGAGCGACCGGCCCATAGTTCCTCTCAAAATCCTGTTAGATTTCGGGGATAGTCCATCAGGGCTGAAGCAGGCAAGCGAGGTGAGAGTTACACCAGAACCCAGCTGGTGACCTGATGCCAGAAACAAGAATGAGGCCCCTGTAACTTTCTGTTTAATATTCATGAGCCAAATTTCCTCTGTGAGCTCTGGAGACTCAAGCCCCATCCCAAGCAGGAATTCACTTCCTGCTGGCTTATTAGGGAAAGGCATGGGGATAGGCTTGCTGAAAGACCAGGAAGGATAACCAGCTTAATTAGTGGGAGGGGCAATTCTGTATCCAAACTTGCTCTGAGAAAGGATGAGAAATTAGGGAGATGGTGAAAAGAGAAAGGAAACGAGGGATTGGGAATAGAGTCTGGTAGTTAGAGCAGGGGAAACTGGGAGACTGGATTTCTGACTCCACCACTGTTTCACTGGGTGACTTCGGCCAAGTTACTTGGTGTGACTTTGGCCCACTGCTCTGTGCCTCAGTTTCCCCATCTGTAAAACAGTCGCATTACCCTGTTTCATTGAGAGATTTGACATTTTTTCATGAAAAGTGCTATGTGGGTGCAACTTGTTACTCAAAAGGAGGAGGAGGAGGAGGAAAAAGGGAAACAGCTGAAAATGAGCCCAGAAAGGAGCAAGAAAACCCAAGACGGGAGCTAGAAAGAGAAGAGCAGAGAGAGTATAACACAGATCAAGCGGGAGAGAGTTGGGATAAGAGGGAGAAATCACACTGAGCTTGCAATGGCACACAAGCTGGGGAGAGGCATGTCCTCTCAGGTTTTATACCCTGGCTCTCTAAAAAGAAAACCTCCTGACTCAGAAATGCTGCCCTGTGGTGTTAATTCAGCATTGTTCTGTGCTTTGTGTCATCATTTAAACCTATAGGTTTTAAATGCCACCAAAGGAGAGCAGCAGCATTTAACACCCACTTTGCACACGTGTAAATGATGACACCGGTTGCACTGCAGTAGTGAACCTGTATGTATTCACAATCAGATCTGCTGACTGCTCTTTACTCCTGTGAACTCCGCAGAGCCGGCTCGGCTTTGGGTGGGTGTGAGCCGGAGTCTAGCATGGTTCGTGCACTGTCAGCAGTTCTGATTGCTGGATTGGAGCGAGAAGGAAAGAGGCCAGCCTGCCTCTGTGCAGGGCTGGCTGGTAGGAAACAAACATCATTTTTCTTTGTAAGCCAAGTAGATTTGATCTGGAGTCACAGAGACACAGTAAATTTGGAGCCTTCTGATTAGAGCCAGGAGAAAATCTTTCACACGAAACTTTTTTCAGCAAAAAAGGCAGCTATCACAACACTGCAACGTGTCACAAATTCGTGTCAGTTTCATGGAATTATTTGTTTGGACACCAAAACAAAACAACAAAACAACAATCAGGAAAAAAACCCATCAAAACGTTCAACGTTTTCAGAATGAAACACTTGGGTTATTTTGGTTCTGAAAAAACTTTTTGTTTCAAAACATCCTTTAAGGTTATTAAAGAAACACCCAAGAACGTTAAAACGATGGGCAAAATCGATAGGAAACCTTTTGTCAAACCGAAACACCGCCTTAGCCCTGAAATGATTTTTTTCTTCCACTTTTCCAAATTGCCAATGAACCAAAAAATGCGTTGTTTGCCCAGCTGTGCTCCTGAGAGCATTTTTACAGTGTCACTTTTCAGCATTTAGCCTCACTTTCGGTTAGGCCCAGCTCCAGTGAGCAGTGATTTTTATTTGCATTTTCTAGTGCAGCCGTCAGTATGTAAAAAGAAAAGGAGGACTTGTGGCACCTTAGAGACTAACCAATTTATTTGAGCATAAGCTTTCATGAGCTACAGCTCACTTCATCGGATGCCTCTGTATGTAGGCGTTAATATCACATACATTTAGAAATACATCATTCCCCACCATGCAGAGAACCCAAACTCCCCTTCCTTACTCACGAATTTTAAGCCACTTATTTAAGGGGCAGATAAATCAAGGTGGCCGTGTATGTGTTTGCCAGAAGATCCCATTTGCTCATGAACACAGGAACATCAGAGGTATTTAGGGGGACAAGATTTCAAGGGCTCATCACCCATAACTGGTGATGTACTTGGCAGAGAGCGCAGCACCCAGTGTGTTGAGCTCTTCTGAAAATCTGGCCTCTTTCTCGTTGACATGCGTGTCAGGGTGTGTGGCTGGCGTGCATGCTGTTTTTACAAAATTAGGCTCAGGGTTTTTAATCCTGCACACAAGAAGAGGCAGTCTTGACGCAAGGGCGGTCAGGCTAAGCTCCCATCTGAGACCGGACAACTACACCACCTCGGGGCTGGCCAGCACGTAAATGCCTCTCTCCGCTTATGGCGGCAAGCGATGCAGATGTGCAGAGCTCGGGAGAGGCACAGGAGGGTGGGGATGAGTGAGGGGGGGTGCGGGGGGAGAGCGTGGTATGTGCTCATTCCCACTCTCCTCTCGTCCGTCCGTCAGACAAAAGCATGCACTGTGCTTCTGACAGCAGACCCCGGTTCAGCTGGAGAAATCTGTTCCCCATTAGCGTCTCTGGCAGAGTTCGTTACCACAGCTGGCACGCCGGCCGGCCGAGGGGAGAGCGCGGGAGCTGCCAGCAGTCACTAATTAGCACCACAAGTGAGGCCGGGGATTGGGGGGCTGGGGAAAGGCCTTGTCCCGGCCCCCCTTGCCAAGGATGCAGTTTCAGAGCTTAGGGCCTGATCCAGGACCCAGTGGACAGGCTCCTATTTACGTCAATGGACTTTGGAGGAGGCCCTCCAGGAGTAGGGTGACCAGAAAGCAACTGTGAAAAGATGGGACTGAGGGTGGGGGGGTAATAGGCACCTATATAAGAAAAAGTCCCCAAAACTGGACTGTCCCTTTAAAAATGGGACATCTGGTCACCGAATCCAGGAGCAAGAACTGCCTTCGGCTCTTCGGTTCCATCCCCACCTCTCCCCGTCTAGGCTCTACCCCGGCCCTGTACTGTGGGGCTGAGGAGGGCTCTCTAGCCCAGCCACAGACTGTACCCAGCTTCTGTCTGCTACACCGGAGATGGGATTGGATCGGGGTGCCAGGCCGAGCCTGGGGGTCAGCTCAGAAGGCTTGCAGAACTGTTCTGCCTAGACTCAGGGGCTGTGCCTGCCGCAAAGCCCACCGAAATCAAGGGGTGTCTTTCCATTAGCTTCAGTGGGATTTGGATCAGGCCCTCGGTGCACTTGTAGCCTTTCACTTCGTGAGGCTCGGGCTCAGTGCTGCATTCAGTCAGCACTAAAAATAAGTTAGTTCACTGAAACTTTATCCCCAGAGGGCAAGCAGCCCAGAGCGCAAAACCAACATGTGTCACTCTGGCCAACTGACCCATTTGGCCTGGTTCCCCCCACCCCTGAGATGAGCTTGAAACCAGGCCACCCTTAGGCTTTGACTTCGCTATATGCAGCGATCTCCAAGGAATATCCAGGCAGGCAGTGGTGTGGGGGATTCACTAGGGAGAACTCTCCCCTCTGAATGATCCAATGTCCCTACCAAGGTACTAGGGGCTGCTGGAGGGACTGTCTTCCAGCATGCTCATGTTCTTTATCCCCTGGGCCCTTTCTCAAGAATTCAGGGTCTTAACCTCAGTGTCCTGGTCAGTGTTGCCAACTCTTGCAATTTCATGGCAAGTCTTGCAATATTTGCTGTTTTCCTTAAAGCCCCAGATCCTGGAGTCCTGTGATTTTGTGAGACATTCAGCTCCCATTTTTTAAAAGAAACGTTCTAGCCTTTGTGATGGCAGAGAAAAGCTGGAAAACAGGCTCGAACCCCAGAAGGCAAACAAATCAAATGCAAAATGTATAATTGAAAATTCACGATTTTTAAGCTAATCTCATGATTTTGGGGGACTGACTCATGCTTTTTGAACACTCAGGGTTAGCAATCATGTTATCTCCTGCCTCCCCAAGTTCCCTTGGCAGCTGTTTTAATTGCAGCCGCTGTTCGTGGCTTCCCCTCCTTCAGAAAACACTGCGTGCAGCGTCATTGCACAGAGCAGCTGTTGCGTTCCAGCCCCAGAGGTGGGTGAAGTGGCACAGGTACAGAGCCTGGAAATAGAGGCTTATTCCCTGACTTCCTTAAAACCAGTTCACCTTTCTGTGTGGCTGTTTCCAAACTCTAACAAAGGCAGATCCAGTGGAACAACCCATGCAAGTGTCTAGATAGAACCATGGGGAGGAACCCCAGGAGATATCTAAGCAGACATCCATCCCAGTACCCTGTCTCAAAGTGGGGGACAAAATACCAGCAGTTCTGTGCCCTGGGGGCTCTCCCTTAACACCCCTAGCATGATACTCAGAGGAATAAATCCCAGCGGGCTTCTCTGTCCAGCCTCCCTCGTGTCCCTGAAGAGAGAACAAGGAGGATACACTCCAGACTGCTACTGGGGCCCCACTCAATCCCTGACCCCGTCCTAAGCAGGGACAGAACCACTGCTCAATGGCACTGAGGACGGTGGGGGGAAAGTTGTCCTAGGGGACATTTGCCGGGCTCTAGGCCTTGGTCCCCCGATGCTGCCCCAGGCTGAGCACACGACACAGGAGACGTCGGGGGTCAGAAATGCAGGAAGATCTTTATTTACAGTAACAAATCAAACAGACAAAACCGCACAACCCCCCAGCCTTTGCAGGGCGCATTTCCTCTCAGCCCTGCAGCTGAAGGCCCAAGCAGGGTGGGCCGGCATAGCGGGAGAGAGAGCCGGAGCCACTGGCCCTCCCGGCAGGTGCGGTGTCCAACAGCCGCTGCTGCATGGCTTGCACCCAGAGCGGTCTGTCCTTCCCCTGTAACTAGGCGGCCAGGAGAGAAGGCGTTTCGCAGCAGGGAGAATCTGGAATCTCCTCTCCTCACCAATTTGTGCACGGACACGCAGCTTCTCTGCGGGGAAGGCTCTTCAGGGCATCCTTTGTCAACCATCACAGGGGCAGTTAAGGAAGAGGCTCTGTGCAAAAGTGTGTATGTGTGTGTGTGTGTGCATGCATGTGCCCCTGCACACACGCGTGTGAGAGCCCAAGTGCTGGGGCCACAAGGGAGCAGCTGGCTGTGTTCATTGCACTTGCCTGTCTACCTCAGCACTGAGAAGGGGGCGGGGAAGCCACTTCCAACCGCAAAGGGAGGCGGAGGCGTCCGAGCTCCAACTTCCCACCCCAGCCGGCCCCCTGAAGTTCACGGTGCCTTGCTGCCCAGCGTCACCGCTTCCTGCCTGGGGCGGGAGGATGAGGCCGATGCGTGCGTTTTGTGCCACGCCTTGGGCCCCGTCACCCGAGTCTGCAGGGCATGAGGTTAGACGGGCCTGTGGGAACCCTGTGAAAAAGTCCTGTCTTTGTACTCTGGGTGCTGGCAGGCCAGCTGCAAAACCCCTGTGGGCTCACGACACCCAGCTGCTGACCAGGGGACACCAGCCTATTCCTTCGAGTTGCAAACTAGCCTAGAATACCAGCGAGCGGGCACCAAGCCCTTGCCGTAGTTTTGAACCAGCAGCCTGGGTGCGCCTGCGATAGCTGCCAAGCAGCTGGCACCCGTGCACCTGGGACACTTTTCTTTGCCAGCCACGGGGCACTCGTGCTGCTACAGCCCTCCAGCAGCCAGCCAGTTGGGGGGGCCCCGTTCACCGATTCCTCAGACAGCCGGTGGCTCAGTGCACGTCCGATCTTTGGCCCAACAAGGCAGCTCAGGGTCTCTGCCAGACGGGAGAGACGGGTCTCTGTACGACTTGCTCTCCTGCTCTTGGCTCAGGCGGCAGGGAGCAGCCACCGCTTGGGGTTACCGAGCCGGACAGCACCGGGGGAGGTAGAGAGAGTGTGTTTGGGTCCTGCAGGTATCCAATGAATCGTCCGCTGTCCCATGGCTCTAAGGCGGCGACTCCCATCCCCGGGTGCTTTCCAGCCTCAGGGTACCGGCTCTGATGGGGTCTCTGGACTCCTCCCCTTTCCATCTCCCTCTCAAATGTTGGCTCAGGAAACCGGCAGGATCCTCCGAACACATGACGCGGGGCAGGTCAAGAAAAATGAGAGCCCAAGGAGTGGGGGGGCGGGGGGAAGGGATCCCCAATCCCAGGCACTCCTGCCCCACCCCCGCCCCCTCCAGTTTATGCCTGGGCGAGGGATTTGGCTCTGGGTTCCTTGCCCCCGGCCCCGCTTCAGGAGGAGAAGCACAGGCCGCAGCACTCCATGCAGATCTCCAGGCAGTCCGCGGACTCGCAGCAGGCGTCCACGATGCCGCAGTCCATGTCGCAGGGCAGGTCGCAGTCGGCGCACTCCCCGGAGCCGCAGCAGCAGCAGCAGATGCAGGAGTCCTCGGAGCTGCAGGAGCCGCAGGTGGCGCAGTCCAGCACAATGTTGCAGAGGGTCAGGAACTCGCAGAAGAGGCAGGAGAGGATGCAGTGGACGCAGCAATCTGAGAAGGGGGACGGGAGAGGCGGGGAGGGAGCGTGGTGAGGGGGGGGAGAGGAGAGAAATGAATGATACCATTATTCACACACAGCACCGTCCCAGGGCTTGGATGGGAACTTTCCCAACAGGTGTTTTAGGGTTTAACCCCCCCAGCTCCCACAGAGACCACCACAAACAATCGCTTACACTCAGGGCAGAGAGCTGAGACGAGCCCGGGTCTGCTGGGCTCAGGGTGGTTGGTTATTTGGGCCTTTGGCTTCTGCAGATGCACAGGCTGGGGTGGGGCCCACGAAAGGCACAAGAGGGCTGAGCAGGGCTGCCCAGGGAGCTTAGAGACTCCATGGAATCCTCTCGGGTCTTGGCCATTGCTGATGATTGTGTGTGGAAGGTGCCCAGATACTACGGTGATGGGCAGCAGAATAAAACCCTGAGGTAGGCAGACCAAAACCTGAAGGCAAACAAAAAACTCCCCAAAAGTCAGCCGTGAGAAACGGACGGAGCGTTACCAGAATGGGCTGTTTCATTTAAAATGGGGGTGGGGATGCAGGGATGGGGAAGAGTGCATCCCAGAATCTATGGGGCAGGTGTAAGGCCAGCGTGAGGGGGAAGAGTGCGTCCCAGAATCTATGGGGCAGATGTGAGGCCAGTGTGAGGGGGAAGAGTGCGTCCCAGAATCTATGGGGCAGGTGTGAGGCCAGTGTGAGGGGGAAGAGTGCGTCCCAGAATCTATGGGGCAGGTGTGAGGCCAGTGTGAGGGGAAAGAGCGCATCCCGGAATCTATGGGGCAGATGTAAGAAATGCAGATGTAAGCTTTTAGAAAAGCTGGACGTGCACAAGTCCATGGGGCCGGACGAGTTGCACCGAGAGTGCTGAAGGAACTGGCGGCTGTGATTGCAGAGCCATTGGCCATTATCTTTGAAAACTGTGGCGAACCGGGAAGTCCCGGATGACTGGAAAAAGGCTAATGTAGTGCCAATCTTTAAAAAAGGGAAGAAGGAGGATCCTGGGAACTACAGGCCAGTCAGCCTCACTTCAGTCCCTGGAAAAATCATGGAGCAGGTCCTCAAAGAATCAATCCTGAAGCACTTACATGAGAGGAAAGTGATCAGGAACAGCCAGCATGGATTCACCAAGGGAAGGTCATGCCTGACTAATCTAATCGCCTTCTATGATGAGATTACTGGTTCTGTGGATGAAGGGAAAGCAGTGGATGTATTGTTTCTTGACTTTAGCAAAGCTTTTGACACGGTCTCCCACAGTATTCTTGTCAGCAAGTTAAGGAAGTATGGGCTGGATGAATGCACTACAAGGTGGGTAGAAAGCTGGCTAGATTGTCGGGCTCAACGGGTAGTGATCAATGGCTCCATGTCTAGTTGGCAGCCGGTATCAAGTGGTGTGCCCCAAGGGTCGGTCCTGGGGCCGGTTTTGTTCAATATCTTCATAAATGATCTGGAGGATGGTGTGGATTGCACTCTCAGCAAATTTGCGGATGATACTAAACTGGGAGGAGTGGTAGATACGCTGGAGGGGAGGGATAGGATACAGAAGGACCTAGACAAATTGGAGGATTGGGCCAAAAGAAATCTGATGAGGTTCAATAAGGATAAGTGCAGGGTCCTGCACTTAGGACGGAAGAACCCAATGCACAGCTACAGACTAGGGACCGAATGTCTAGGCAGCAGTTCTGCGGAAAAGGACCTAGGGGTGACAGTGGACGAGAAGCTGGATATGAGTCAGCAGTGTGCCCTTGTTGCCAAGAAGGCCAATGGCATTTTGGGATGTATAAGTAGGGGCATAGCGAGCAGATCGAGGGACGTGATCGTTCCCCTCTATTCGACATTGGTGAGGCCTCATCTGGAGTACTGTGTCCAGTTTTGGGCCCCACACTTCAAGAAGGATGTGGATAAATTGGAGAGAGTCCAGCGAAGGGCAACAAAAATGATTAGGGGTCTGGAACATATGAGTTATGAGGAGAGGCTGAGGGAGCTGGGATTGTTTAGCCTGCAGAAGAGAAGAATGAGGGGGGATTTGATAGCTGTTTTCAACTACCTGAAAGGGGGTTCCAAAGAGGATGGCTCTAGACTGTTCTCAATGGTATCAGATGACAGAACGAGGAGTAATGGTCTCAAGTTACAGTGGGGGAGGTTTAGATTGGATATTAGGAAAAACTTTTTCACTAGGAGGGTAGTGAAACACTGGAATGCGTTACCTAGGGAGGTGGTAGAATCTCCTTCCTTAGAGGTTTTAAGGTCAGGCTTGACAAAGCCCTGGCTGGGATGATTTAACTGGGAATTGGTCCTGCTTTGAGCAGGGGGTTGGACTAGATGACCTTCTGGGGTCCCTTCCAACCCTTATATTCTATGATTCTATGATTCTATGATTCTATGTAAGGCCAGTGTGAGGGGGAAGAGCGCATCCCGGAATCTATGGGGCAGATGTAAGGCCAGTGTGAGGGGGAGAGAGCATCCTGGAATCTATGGGGCAGGTGCGAGGCTTAGTTCTCCCTTAGTGAAGGGATCTCTTAGTGGAGGGCTGGGAGGGACATTACTGAGACTGAAGAGGATCCAAAAACTATGTGAGGGTCATGAGATTAGGGGGCAGGGATCCCAGAACTAACAGGACCAGCATGAGGCTCGAGGAGGTGGGGCAAAGAACCTGGCAGGGACGGGGGAGGCCAGCCCAGAGCAAATAGAGAGAATGTGGGGGGAATTGGACCAGGATCCAAACAGCTCCCTGGCTTGAACGGTAGCATGGGGCAGTCGGCACAAAGCAGTAACTGTGGGCGTCACCCCTTTCATCCTGGGGGCTCCCATCTCTCTCTCGAGCACTGTAGCTCTTGTTCCCATTAGTGGACATGGAGGTTTGGGGAGCTGGGGGTGGAGGGTGGGCAGGGACAGCTGGTACCTTGCTGGGCCTCCACAGGGATCTGCGAGGAGGCAGATTTGGAGCTGCCTTTGCTCTTCTTGCTGCCCTGGCTGTTGATGGAATAGTGCGACTGCAGCTTCCGATGAGGCTTCTGAGAGTTGGGCAGCGAGCCGAGGACGCCGTTCCCTGCATCTCGGTTTGCGCCGCCCAGGTCTGGGACACACCTGGCGCCGTTCTGCAGTAGAGGGGTGCAGTCCATGGGGCTGGACGGCTGGAGACCCCGCAGGGGTGTTCGGACCTGGGGCTGGCCTGCAGGCAAGAGACAGCAGTGTGTTGGAGAAAGCTGCACTCAGAGGAGAATCCCGTGTGGCAGAGAAAAGACCGGTCCTGGCTCTAATGCATATAAAGGGGATTCTTACTGATGCTGCTGGACACAGAGGGGGTTTGTAGGCTGCACTCTCAACCCAGGTGTGTGGATGTGTTTCCAAGCCAGGCTTGAGCATCCACACTAACGCGTCTACACTGCACCACGCAGACCTTCGGACTTGGGTCTATGGCTTGAGCTGCGTCCATGCTGCTAAATGACAGGGCTTGGACTTGAGTCACAGCGGGACTCAGGCTCTGACCCACACCCCTCACCCTGTCCTCGGACCAGGGTTATTTCTATTTAGTTTAAATCGATTAGGAACATGTTTAAGCTACATTGAAATAAACCACTCAGACCCAAATATTAGTGGTTTGTGCGGGTTTAAATAAATTGGTTTAAAATCACACCTTGAATTAAATGGGTGCAACTCTGCATGTAGCTACAGCCCAACCCTGTGTGCTCACAGTTGGGCCAGAGGAGGCTTTTTTGTTCCTCATACAGCATCTAAGGCTTTGTGCTTGACAGCCTCTGCAAGGTTTGCCAATCTCTTGGCAAACATGGACAGCAAACACTATAAATAAGGTGACTTCTTTACAAAGCTCATAATTGGAGCTGGTAGAAAAATAAATAAATTCTAAAGGGGGGGAGGAATGGGCAGGGGAAATTTCCCCCCGTCGAAATGCAGTTAAGCCTGTGTGTAGACAAGACTAAGATAATCAAAGACATGTTTGAGTGGAAAGTACAACCCAGCTAGGCTGGCTTAAGGCTCCGCACATCTAGGGGGAAGATTTATAAAGAGAACTTTAAACAGCCCTGGTCTAATGGAACCATCTGGGAACATTTTACTTGAACTGCGGAGACACGGGAGAGCCCTGACGCCATTTTTTGTTCTTCGTGGAAGGTATCTGGAAAGGCCATTTCTACTGGGCTTAAAGGCCTTTCACAGAATCACAGAAATGTAGGGCTGGAAGGGACCTCGAGAAGTCACCAAATCCAGCCTTCAGCGCTTAGGCAGGACCAAGTAAATCTAGACCATCCCTGACAGGTGTTCATCCAACCTGTTCTTAAAAACCTCCAGTGACAGATTCCACAACCTCCCTTGGGGCCATGGTCCAGAGCTTAACTACCCTGAGGGTTAGAAGGTTTTCCCTAATATCTAACCTTAACCTCCCTTGCTGGAGAGTAAGCCCATTACTTCTTGTCCCACCTTCAGTGGACATGGAGAACAATTGATCACCATCTTCTTTGTAACAGCCCTTAAGATACTGGAAGACTTATCCGGTTTCCCCTCATTTGTCTTTTTTCAAACTAAACACACCCACTTTTATTAAGCTTTCTTCAGGTTTTCTAAACCTCTGATCGTGTGTGTTGCTGTCCTCTGGGCTCTCTCCCAATTTAGCCACATATTTCCTAACATTTGGCACCCAGAATTGGACACAATACTCCAGCTAAGGCCTCAACAGTGCCAACAGAGCAGGACAATTACCTCCTGTGTCTTACTTACAACATGCCTGTTAATACACCCTAGACTGATACTAGCCTTTTTCGCAACTGTATCACTTTGTTGACTCACATTCAATTTGTAATCCACTATGACCCCCAGATCCTTTTCAGCAGTACGACCCCCTAGCCAGTTATGCTCCATTTTGTAGTTGTGCATTGGATTTTTCCTTTCTAAATGAAGTACTTGGCACTTGTCTTTATTCATCTTGTTGATTTCAGACCAATTCTCCAATACGTCAAGGTAATTAGCAAACCTCGTTGCCTGCTCTGTCCCCATATCTACTCTAGCGACACCATTGTAGGACCCAACCACATCAGCCACACCATCAGGGGCTCATTCACCTGCACGTCTACTAATGTGATATATGCCATCATGTGCCAGCAATGCCCCTCTGCCATGTACATTGGCCAAACCAGACAGTCCTTACGTAAAGGAAGAAATGGACACAAATCGGACATCAGGAACGGTAACATACAAAAGCCAGTAGGAGAACACGTCAATCTTCCTGGACATTCGATAACAGATTTAAAAGTAGCTATACTTGAACAAAAAAACTTCAGAAACAGACTTCAAAGAGAAACAGCAGAACTAAAATTCATTTGCAAATTTAACACCATTGTGTTGAATAGGGACTGGGAGTGGCTGGCTCATTACAGAAGCAGCTTTGTCTCTCCTGGAATTGACACTTCCTCATCTATCACTGGGAGTGGACTACATCCACCCTGATCGAATTGACCCTGTCAACACTGCTTCTCCACTTGTGAGGTAACTCCTTTCCCTTCATGTGTCATTATATAATGCCTGCATCTGTAATTTTCACTCCATGCATCTGAAGAAGTGGGTTTTTTTACCCATGAAAGCTTATGCCCAAATAAATCTGTTAGTCTTTAAGGGGCCACCGGACTCCTTGTTGTTTTTGTGGCTACAGACTAACACGGCTACCCCTTGATACTTAAGGTCATTTTGAACTCTCACGCTGTGCTCCGAAGTGCTGGCAACCCTGTCCCAGCTTGGTGCCATCCACAAATTTTATAAGCGCACTCTTCACTCCATTATCCAAGCCATTGATGAAAATACTGAATAGTACCAGACCCAGGACTGACCCCCATGAGACTTCATTAGATAACCCCTCCCAGTTTGAGGGCGAACGATGGAGAACTACTCGGTGAGTACGGTCTTTCAACCACTCACACACCCACATAATAGTAATTTCTTCTAGACTGCACTTCCCTAGTTTGCTTATGAAAATGTCAAGTGAGACTGTGGCACGTGAGACCTACTGCTTCCCCCTATCCACTTGGCCTGTAACCCCATCAAAGGAGAAAATTAGCTTGGTTTGGCATTATTTGTACTTGACAAATCCATGCTGGTTATTCCTTATCACCCTTTGTGGAGGGCTGTCAGCAAGGGCCATCTCCAGATTGTGAGGCTCTCTCCCTTCTCGGCCTAACCAGCCAATCCTCGGCCTCCAATCCGCCCCAACTTCAAACAGGGAGATGTGAGGCTGCTGGAAACTAGATCCTCAGCTGGTGTCACTGGTGCAGCCCCGTTGGCTTAGCTACACTGATCTGGCCTGATGCATCAGGGAGGGGGAAAGGGAAGCACAAAGGGGGGAGCGGGAGAAAGGGAGAGATGAGGAAGAAGATGACATAGTAGAGCAAGGGGGACAGGAGGAGGAGGGAGGAGAAGGGATGGAAAATAAAGGGACGAGCGAGTGGAGTCCTTTGGTGGAAGAATGGCCCAGTGGTTAGAACACTGACCTGGTACGTAGGAGACCTGGGTTTCAGACCCTGCTCTGTGTGACCTTGGGCAAGTCACTTAGTGTCTCTGCTTCAGTGATAGCCCTGCCCCCCCTCAGAAGGGGGCTGTGAGGATAAACGCAATCCAGATTGCAATGCATTCAATTGCTATGGTGACGGGGTCATCTAAGATATTCATACCAACAGGACGGGAAAGAAGGGAGCCCAGAAGGCAGGGTTTTAAGAGCGCTCATCACCAAAGAGGCAGAGCTCTTCTGAAAACCTGGTCCATATAAAAGGATAAAAGCCTACTGCTGCTACCAAATAATGAAGTTACTCCTTTGGTGGAGGCGCTGTCCACCACCGGTTCAGCTCCACTGCTGGCGGTAACGTGGCCGGACTTGGGCTGCCACCACTGCTCAGAGAGGGTCTAAATGACGCCCTGGATAAAAACTCCTCTGGACTGATCTATGCGAGTACGACCCTCAGAGCACAGGGTGATTTCCCAAACCAGGCTAGCCCAGACACAGCCCAGGCTGATCCGCTGTCTGAGGGCCACAAGTGGGCTGCTGACCTCAAGAAGGAGTTGTGTGTTCACATTGGAAAACCCAGGGTGGATCCCAGCTTGCTTCCCCCTACCCTGACCCCAGGGGCTGAAAGTCAGGAGGGATCTTGAGAAGACGATGCCCCGAAAGGAAGCTGGGCTATGGATCTCTCTCCAAACAAACCAATGCCGTAATTAAAGGGATCCACAACCTATGGCTGGCCGTTAAAGGGGAGGAAAACAAACATCTGCTTTAGCGGCGACTCCCTCTTGTCCTCGCATTCTGCAGAAACAAGGCAGGATTGCGAATCTCCCTAGCTGGGGCCAAAGGGCTGTACTTTGCCGTGGCCAAACAAGGCATTGCGGGGGGGTGGGGGTGAGGAGCTGGAGAATAGTTTAATCCTGCCTTTCCCCCCGTGCCTGGTTAGTCGGCCTGATTATCGACCACAGACAGGATTTGGAATCCAGATCAGGAAGGGTTAAACATCAATCTCACCAGCCCGCAACATAACCAGATAAATAGAACTCTGCCTGCCCTTGTCTGTGCCAAACCTTGAATCTCTCTCTCTCTCTTTCGTCAGTAAACAAGGGATGATTCAGGAGAAAGGCTTGAGGGCAAAGGCACCTAGAGCCAAGCTGGGGAACAGTAGCCGCATTCTGTTCGGGGCGTCAGTGGGACAGGGAGCCTGAACTGCAGGGACGAGAAGGGCCGGGACTGCATTGAGCAAGACCTCCAAACACAAGGTGCTTCTGTCTCGCATTGGCGGGGATGCCAGGCCACTCGCAGGCAAAAATAAAATCGATGGAGGTAAGAAAACAGCATCTTGTTTTCCTAGCCTGGGTATCCTAGCAGGGCTGCGAGCACTACACTTGGTCCGGCTAGCAGAAATGGGGAAATGGCTGGCAGGGAAGTAGCAGGCCTTGCAAAGCAGGTTCGTCCCCCACAGAATAATGCGGGTGCGGGGGGTCCCAGGCAGTCACTAGTGCTTAAGCCTGGTTTAAGAGCATGAACGAGGCCGGGGGGGGGGGAGTTTAAGCAACTAGATCCTAAAGGAGGGTGATGGTGTGAGAAGCTCCATGGCAGAGCATGCTGGGAAAAGCGGGACTGAAAACGGAGGTGAAAACAACCGGGCGAAGTGATCCAGAAGGAGGGGG